TGTATTTTTTCGATCTTTTTGTAACATTTTTTTGCCGTAAGAAGTACCAATTACAAGCAACACATTAAAATTAATTTTAAACGGTTCAGATGAAGAAATAATTGAGGATTTCATGGCCGCCTATTAAACGATGCACAAAAATGTGCAGTAGAATTACATTGGTATTTAAGAACCACTTTTATTACACAAAAAAGAAGGCTTTTGGAGACAGTTGGAATTCAATACGTTTTTTTCTGTTTTTTTATTTAGCCACTAAATTTGCTTCTGTTTTAACATTTCAAATTATACTAGAAAGGAGCGTCAAAGTCTGGCAAAGTGAGTGACACATCTCTAATATATCTTTCAGTTTTTTCATTTGGGACGTGTGCCAAGAAACGTTTTATTACACAATTTTTTTGTAGCATTTTCCAGTTTTCCGTTTTTGCTTGTTTAGTTTTTTGGGGAGAGGGCAAAGAAGGAAAAAAAGACAAAAGGAAAAGCTAGTAACACAATGCAAAGCTACTTAAACGAAAGAGTAAAAAAAAGAATTTTGTTACTGATGACATTAATTTATTCTGTTAGTTGCAGCCGATGGAAATTAGAAGAGAGAAGGAAAGGGATTTGTATAGAATAAAAAGCTAAACTAAGCTTCAATCAGTCTAATTTGCCAAGAGTTGCTGCTAATGAAGCTGAAGTTTAAGAGAGAAGTTTTTTGAACCTTTAGTGATTTAGATAATGTGCTTCTCTTAAGAAGAAAAGCAATCAGCTGTAAGAGGGCTTGACATTGAAAAAGAAAGAAATAACAAGAAGAAAGGAGACGTTTATATGAGAAGGGATTCAAGGATACCCAGAAAACCAGGATGAATATGAATACAAGAAAGAAAAAAATGTTTAGTGTTCTGCAAATCAAATAAGGCTGATGATTCGAGGGCACATATTTTCATGACTCTTCCTCATGGCAAAGATATTTATACTGCTCTAAAACTAACTCGTTTTTTATGTCCTTACTTTTGTTATAGATTGTTTAGACAAAAGAGCCAAATTATGAAAATATAACAAATTACCATCAGCAGTTGCGTTACTGTTATCCATTTCAGTGAATTCAGTTCTGCTCAACTATCATTGTAGAGAGGTAGAGCCACGATTCCAAAGGGGCTGTTTAGAAAAAAAAAGAAAATAGGAAACAAAGAGTTTGTGTCGTAATCAAATTAGGCGATTAGCAACAGTGTTGACACCTAAAAATAAATTTAAAAGAAACCATGATTTATATAGATCATAAATTTTTTCAAATAACATATAGGTAATACGTAAAGTAAACATGGAAATTATGTGTGGAAGAAAGCCAAAACGACAAAAAATTTGCAGCGTGAGGACGCCAAGGTCAAGTTTG